CATTTTGTATCCCTTGTGATGAGAGAATCACGATCAAGCATGTCCTGCTTGACTGTATTGATTTTGCCATCACAAGGGATAAATATTTCAAATCATCATCTCTCAAGGATCTTTTTTATAATATCAATTCTCATTTAGTTATTGGGTTTTTAAAAGAGATAGAATTGTTTAACAAATTTTGATAATATGTATTGTATAAAATGAATGACCTTTTAAAAATTGGTAGAACGAAATTATATCTGAGTTTGTTACTGGCCGTATCCTCAAAGGGGGTCGACGTAGTGTAAAATTATTGTCCCCCTGAGAGGATATTGTAAGTCCATGTCATTCAAAGAATATTTCTGGCTACTAGTGTTTTAATCGTAGAATATTTGTATTTTTACTTGTGGCTAACTTTGCATACAATCGCCAGTTGCTGAAGGTATGATGTAAATCCTGCTGGGGTCCATGCAGGTAGCAAAGGTACTGTAAGTCCCCATGGTCCCCGGTATGGTGGTCTGCCTTCAGTTGCTGACGATCTATAGCCCGTTTTTATATTGTGTCGTCTGTTATAATCTTTTTATTGTATTGTTCTAAAACTAGTTTTACAATTATAATCTGTGATATTTTGCTAGTTGTTATACTGTCCTTCGACGACAGGTCTTAAGAAATTATAGAAATGCAAACTTGCTCAAGTCACGATATGGCTGAAACAATGCCGATGTGACTTTAAATATTAACACACTCACTCACTCACTTATTCCAAGAGGCGGAATAAGAGAGGACTTCTTACTATACAGATCATCATATAAAGGTGATATATTGGATCGGATAATTTAACTTTACATTTACAAGCTCCACCTTAGATGATAGAGCCATAGTCGAGTTTAGATCGGATAAGGGATTTATATATGTGAAGGTGGATCGACTGATCTCCCCACTTGGAATTAGAAAAATAATATGTTAATATTTATGTGGTAAAAAAGCAAAGTGATGATCAAATTTTTTTTTTTATTCCTTTACAACTTGAATTGGAGTTCCCACCATATGTAATTCCCTATGTTGTTTATATTTTCGATACCCATAAAGATCAGGGGTAGAATAGGTCTTCAGCAACCCTCGCTTGCCGTAAAAGGCGACTATGCTTGTCGCAAGAGGCGACTAACGGGATCGGGTGGGCAGGCTCACTGACTTGGTTGATGCATGTCATCGATCCAAACTGCATGGATCGATGCTCATGATATTAATCACTGGATTGTCTTGTGCAGATTCGATTATTTACTGACCGCCGCCATATAGCTTGAATATTGCTGAGAGCGGCGTTAAACAACAAACAAACAAACAAATTATATTTTCGACAGAAATGAATGCAATTTGTTTTTGATTTTGAAAACTTGAAACAGTTACGTTGAGAGCAATCATTGATCATTATTACTCAAAACTGTCTCTCAAATGTGTGAATATGTTTACCTTGACATGATACATAAAAATCATCAACAAATAATGACCCATCAACAGTCACTAAAAACCTTAGATAAACTATTTATTTTGATACTAAACAACGTTAACAATAATATGCTTTCCTTGAGAGACACCCTGATCATCATCGTAAATATCTGACAAGGTTGATCTCACTCGTACCTGATGATGCATATCTGCTAAAAAAATGTTATATAAAATGGGGTAAATGGCCTTTCAACCCCATCTCATGAAGATCTATTCAAAAATCATATTTCTAGGTCGTATCATAAGCTTTTTCTAAAACCAAAAATATAGATACGGTGTGTTGTTTATTTATTATGGCATTTTTAACAAACGTTTCCAATCGCACCAAATGGTTAATGGTGCTTCTATTTTCCCTAAAACCTTATCGAATATTAGTTATAACATTATTTTGTTCTAAACACCATAGGAGTCTATTATTGACCATTCTTTTTATGGTCTTTCAAATACAGCCAGTAGGTGATATTGGCCTATAGTTAGAAGGATAAGTATGATCACGGTCATGTTTCGGTATTGGAAATATGACAGCATTTCGACACAATGAAGGGAACTATAATCGAATATAGTTGACAATATCTCTAAACAGGAATCAGGTAAATGTTTAGGTAACTGAAAGTGGATATTATCAGCACCCGTAGCAGTATCATGAGCTTGCCATAAGGCGGTATGCAGCTCATGAATGGAAAATATTTCATTTTAATCCTCACTATTATCAGAATAAAAATTAATTTCATTCTTTCTTGTACTTTAAGTTTCTGAAATTTTGGGGTATAATGTTAGGAGAATGAATGTTTCGCTAAATTTTCGCCTAATTTATTTGCAACAACTGTATATCAGATTGATCAGTTGATAAAGTGTCACCATCTTTAAGATGGCGAACTCTAGATTTGGAACCTTTATCTTTAATCCTTTGCACCATATTCCAAACCTTACACATAGGTGATCTGGAATTTATGTTCGAAACATATTTTCCCCAAGATTGGCGTTTACTCTGTTTACACGTATGACGAACTTTTGCATTTAAATATTTGTTAACATATTTAAGTTATTGACGGTTGGGTTGTGGCGGAAATATTTCTCTGCCTTTTCCTAGCTTTCTGGACCTGTTTACAATCAGTGATAAACCATGATTTACGTATATTTAATAATTGACTTTCACTTTGTGTGAGTTCATTGGAGTATGAACCTTCAGAGAGTGAGGACCAAACTGTATGAACGTCGGGGCTTGTGATTCTATGACGTCAATTCTTATAATTTGTTATCACAATTTCATACCTAAAAGGATATAAACCTAGATCTTGACACAATTTTATTTAGTACATGTGACTTCATATCTACACTGACAGCCATACAACAACCAGCTATATCGCGGAATGAAATAGTTCCTAAAAACGAGAGGTGACATGAGCGTATGGATGCACAACTTGCTTTTCAGAAACATCTTACGCAACACATGTATTCCAATAATATCACCATCAGATGAGAAAGGTCTGTTAAGAACTACCTCAGTAAGTCGGTCACAATGACAGCGCGTCGTAATATATTTACATTAAGTAGACGTCAAAATGGCCCCGCGATAAACGTGACGGGAGAGATGTCGGGAGTCGCTAATGAACCCATGGCGGTTACATGTTTTAGTCATCATTGATCAATTGGACGATCATTGAAAGGTGATTAAAGATGTGTCAAAATCTGGTTTTGGTTATGCGTGGATATACTGTGGAGATATACATGTACATTGTTTTATGGAATTATTCAAGAGAAGATGTATTGACATTGTTGTGCAAAACTGGAGTCAAAAGATTAACAATTCTGTGTTCTTGAACCATTATGCGTCATATAAATCACTATTGGAAACTGAACTCTATATAACCTCATGCTTTGGTAAGGATCTAATAAGAGTTTTGGCGAAATTTCGATGTTTAGCACATGGTTTAAAAGTACATAAACAGCGCTTTAGCAAACAGTTTATACAACCTAAATTATGTTCTGTGACAAATGTGATTTATTTGAATCAGAAGATGAATATCATTTTGCACTAGTTTGCCCATATTACGAGAAAAGCAGAGATAGTTTAATTCCTCGTTTTCATTATCCATAAAGACAGAAATTTGCCTCCCTGATGTCCCAAAACAATGTTAATGTTATAAGAGACTTTGCTCTTTATTTAAAAAGAAATTTGCCAGTTTATCGTTAAGCAGAAGTGTGAATCTGTATTACAGATAGTTTTATTTATAGATATATACTCTTATATTTAGAAATTACATAATACACCCACATGCCACTACCGTACGCATGTTATATGAAAGAAATTGTACTCTTGGCCACGAGGCCTTCAATACTGAATAAACAATACTGAATTGACAAGTGATTGAGTGAGTTGGGTTTACCGCCGTATTGAACAGAATACCAGTTTTTATCTCACACAGTGTCAGCTTAATGTGGGAGGAAAGCCCGACGTGATGCAGGTCTCAGACATTCACCACTTTGGTGAAACCCACGACCATGGCTATAGTGCTGACAAACCTGGAAACATAGTCGTGTCGAACCGGGACTCGTATCCACGACAATAGGTCTGGCGTGCCCAACGGACACAACTTGTACCCAAGGGACACGAAAGAATTGCGGCTCCTTAGACGACTGGACCACTCGTGCCCGATTAAAATAGAAGAAGAAAAGCTATCATGACGAGAATGCTCCACCAAAGTACCAGCAAAAGATATGATGCTTGTTTGAAATATTATTACAATATATAAGCGTGTGTCAATTACTTTTCAACTAATCCTTCCTCTCAAGATGAATTACTCCAGGAACAGAAACGTCAAATGGAAACCATTAATTGTTTTACAACCAAAGCACCATCTTCCAAATAAACATACACACATCAGAGGTCATGATGACATGGACGTGTATTGTGCAAGGTTTGTCAGGTAATCCAAGGGACTGTGTGGTGATACCACTAATATAACCTGTAATAATGTCATAAACAGAGCATTATGTGACCTGCGATAGATACACAGGCGTATGGTTGTATACCTTGAAGCATGGAGGATAAAGGCACAGTTACTATCTGACTGGAAATGATTTAAGGTTGTGTTTGGCAGTTGGGTAGTTTTGAATGTGTTCTCGCCATCCACTGTCAAATAGGCTAGTAGATTTCGCTCCCTTCTCGAACCACCTATTTGTCACTTTTCAGTGACAGTGATAGTTGATTGACCTTAGAAGTCACCATTTGTTTATGCATACAGTTCGGTTCAAACTTTATCTCGCCGCGAATAGCTATGAAACTGCTGATGCGGCAGTAAGCAATGTGCTCTCGTAAAAGAAATGTGTACCAGCACATTCCCAATCTTTAAGTATTATTCTTATTAAATAATCAAAGATTCGTTCATTTGACAACAATACTGTTGCCGACATTACATAGTCCCCATTAATTCTAAATTTGTCAAGTGTGCACAATGCTGACGAACGTATAATTTCCTGATACAATGAATTTGTCACAGTTGTGCTCTACTCACATTGATCGGCTTTCACTTCACATATTTCAGTTGTGCTGTTTTCGATGATGAATTGGGGAAGTTCTTGATCCATTTTCATTTCTTCATCGAACGTTATGGGGTCTTTTTCATCCCAGCTGAACAGCACATTTTCCGTCGTATATGTATCTGTACATAAAATAAAATTGTTGTGATATTGGTATCATTAGGGCCTTCAGCGATGTTGGATTTTCGCCACAGAGCTGTATATTATATTATATGTAGCATTGTTGCAATTATTCCTAAATATAAATCTCGTCCTCCTGTCACCACTGCTTCTATCGACTGCAAGACTGATCTGATATGGGCCACGTCTGTTCCCTTCCTTACACAAACCAGCTGTGACACCTTCATCTGTGACTCCTTCCAAACCCCAAACTCTCAAAAATGTTGAGTCTCAGACTCCTAAACCAACACCTGAACCAGAACCAGTGACACTTACAAATTAAGAAAAATGGAACAAAAGCAGCAAAAAGAACAGCTGCAAACATCAAAGGCCACCTCTCCTTTAGAGGTAACAGTAGAGGCTCATAACTCATTTGGTCCTCTGGACATCGAGATAACTCCATCTCAACACGAAACAAATAGGAGTACCACAAAGTCTTCCTCACATTCGTGTGACATTTCTTCCCGTGGAAGCACCACCATGAATCCACAAAACATAACACAATGGAGTTGCAGAGATCTTAAGAATTTTTTTAATGAAATACAACTTTTACTCCAAGATTTCAAACCGTCTGGTTTTTGTCTCCAAGAAACATATCTAAAATACAAAAATCTATTTGATATCGTCAGTACAGTTCTTACCACTCGTTTTCCCCTCCTGTTGATAACGCTACATGAGGTTCTTCTAAGGTTAGCATAATCCATAGCCCTTTCCCACCTTACACTACACTACAATCTGTTGCTGTCCGTGTTACTTTGAACATAGAGTTTACACTGTGTTCACTGTATCTCCCCCCTTCCTCAACTATCCGTCTATCAGATCTTTAGACTTTGTACGATCAGCTCCCGAAGCCCTGTATCATCATGGGTGATTTAAATGGTCATAATCCCCTATGGGGGAGTACTGACACAAATAATATGGGAAAAGTCCTTGAAGATTTTATCTCAAACAATGATTAATGTATTTTCCATGATGGTAATAACACCTATCTGCATCCCGCCACTGGCACATACTCTGCCCTAGATCTTTCATTGACAGATTCAAATATTTTAAATGAATTCGAATGGTCGGTAAATGATGACCTTTGTGGAAGTGACCATTTTCCATAACTACTTACAACTATTTATCCGTCTGACGAACCACCTTCAACAAGGTGGAACTTTACAAAGGCCAACTGGTCTTTATTCCAAACACTATCTACTGAAACACTAAAACCACGTACAGTCAGGGACCATCTCAATCGCTGACAAAGATGTTGTCGCTGTCAATAACTATCGCGTGTCCAATGTCTGTCGATTGACTTTAGGTAATCGTTGCTGATGACGTCACTGTCAGGAATCGATTCATTGGGCGTAATTACTCATGGGTCTACCTGTTCTTGGCCTGTTTGATGTCTTTCCGGTCTGCCTGTAACGTTACAGATTAATTACAACTGCACGGGTGCAACAAAGTGTTGTAGCATTATAGGCATGGGTGGTTCCCATCTGTATCATACCCAGGGCCTGCTCGCGTTGTTTGGGTGTCAGTTGTGGCACTTCTATGCTGGATTTTCATCAGGGTCTGACATGCCGCCCGTATCATTTATATACCCTTTTTGCACGTGTAGTTTCGGCTGCCCAAGCGGCACATGTTTTTCCTTTTTTTCTACATAAAAACGTGCCGTGTGCGTGTATCACTTTCTGCATAGAGCAGTGTTGTGTTGGGACGAAGTATTTTGCATTGATTTAGTTTAAACTAGTGTTTCCAATTTTTTGCAATTTCTTTTTTAAAGTACTAAACCGTCTTTTAGCCGTCAGTGTATTAGTGATATAACATTTCTCTCATTACATGCTTCGAATTTACCTGACGCCACTGCTTTGACACTATAGAAACTAAGAACTGCAGAAGAAACACTGGCCCTGGATGTACCAGAGGCTATTATCTATCCCAGGAAGCGGATGGGCCTTGTAATAGCATGCTCTCACTCAAAGTAATGATAACGAAGACAATGTACGTATTTACATCATGGGGACTGCTCATAATTAAATGGATAAAAGATGAAGACATTCTAATTGTTCTTAGATACTTTATTAATTAATTTTACTTGCCCGAGAAGAGATCATTACACACATTGTGTGATACCAAAACGCGTGCTTATGTACTCTCGGAACAAGTTATGATAGATCACTGAGAGGAGCTTATGCACACTCGATGACCCCAGCAACCTTGTTGCTAGGCTGATGTCACAATCATGGCAATGTTTCGCCGACGGATCTTGCAACAAAATTCCACAAATTACGTCATCGGGTATTGTTACGTGATTGTAAACTTTGAGGTGCATGGTTCCGTTCCACAAGGCGATATTTATAGATATTTTGCCAAACAATTGGTCTGCTTTACGTTCAAACATTGACATTTACTTTTGTAAAACTGAGTTATTCAAATTGACACTTCGAAAACATGAAGAATGCATCAAGGATTTCACGTAAAAAATGTTCTTATCGCGACAGCGATCCACAAAAATGTGGAATCGATAGCTAAAAATATATTTCTATCCGAGTCCATGCTGAAGAAGTGTGAAACAATATACCTTTGGGAAGGATAAAAACGGAAGGTGTCGGCAGGCTACAGTAATGACCGTGACCTAATTGATAACTCAGGGGGAGCTAATCTTAGTTCAAACTCTAGTTGAGAGTGGTTTCCCTTTGTATTCGCCAGGGACACCTTGCTCAATGTTACAGTTTTCATAAAGCGCAGAGTTCCGCTGTTATATTTTCTGGATCGCATTTGTGTCAATGCTTTAGTCTTTATTTTCGCATTTTATAAAATTATATAAATCTACATATGTAAAAACAAACCCATAAAGGTTTATCATAAGTTTTTACATCTAAAATCATGTGGGACGGGTGGTTTTAATAATTGAATTTTAACTATACAGTGTAGTATTTATTGACTTAACAAGGAAATACATGTGATCAAATATTTGTATACAATATTTAATATTTTTCTTGCAAAAGTATTTGTAATTTGTTTCGTTTTAAATTCAATACATATGTTATCTATTTCCTCTTGAAAGACAAATATTTGATAAAAAGTTATTAAAAACTTCTGTTGAACAATAGCAATTCTTTAAAAACAGGTGATTAACGGCATATATATGTATTCCATTAAATATAACAATTTACTGAAATTTTGACAGTAAAAGTTAAGCACAGATTTTCGTATAGACAAATCAAATAAAAAAATGGGTTCCCATGGTCGTTCTGGTTTCGTCAAATGTAGCATAGTTTGGACATTGTCCAAAATTCACTTTCCAATATGTTCGCAGAAACAAGTTGATTGAATGAAATTTACTGATCAATATAAAATACACATTTTCAACACAATAATCTTTGCAATCAATAAACCGGTTTTAACATATTTCGGTCTTTTTAATCTTAAACTCTACATCTTCCCGTTTTATGTTTTAAAAAAAATGGATACACTTGAGACCATTCAGACAATAAAATCGTTGTAACGTATTGGGTCAACGGACAAATACTAGTAAATGATCCTCAGCAATTCTGTCAGATAGATAGATTTGACACATTGCAAAGTATTTCGCTTCTCAGCCAGATTTAAATGAAATCAGACAAATCAGTTTATTAGCTCTACTTAATTTAAAAGGATAGGATGTGACTACATTATATGTATGTTCACTTTAACTTGTGGCGTGTTCTATGAGACAACATAACTTGATAATTCCTAAATTATCTCTCTTGCGAACGAAAATTAGTGTCACTTTTGAATTTTGAAAATAATTATGGATCTAGATAGATAAAAAAAATAATTTCATCATCTAAATACTAATAGCTTGATATTGTATTTAAGTCCTTGGTTAATTCGTGAAATATATTGGATACATAAATAACAAAACAAACTTAACAAGCTTAGATTAGTAGTTGGTAGCATGACTTCAGTCAGCGGAAGTGGTTCTGCGCACTTCCGTCACTTCCGGTTTCGGTTTTCTTTGATAAAGCTCCATTGATGACATTCTCAGCTGTGCTCCATCTGATAGGCGGATAGACCTCTTCATGGTGGCAAACGTGACAACGTTCGAGGATTTGTTCAAAACAACATCTTCAAGCCTCATTCCTGTCATATTTAACTGAATCCTTGTTCCAATCTCTAATGCTTCATCAACATTCACTTTGTCAACTGCAACATCTTCACTGGCAATATTTCTCAGTTGATGTTCTGGAGCTGCCATAAAAGGGTTGTGACTCCTAAGAAATAAGAGGAACGTCTGCAAATCAGCATAATCTTGTTTTATCTGGCCTGGATTCATATCTCTGTGGTGCTCAACAATCTCTGAGGAGGTGTTGGTCATCAGTCGTAGAGCATCTGTGTACTGAGCCACTATATGGGCAGAGAGCAGCCATTTTGTTCTTGCTGAATCCTTGTGAGTGATGTTGATCAAACCTTCTTGAGTTTTTCCTGCTCTCATAAGACATTGCTCTATAATCATGTCATTCCAAGTGCCACTCAAAAATTGCTTTGAGTTCCTTCGGATTGTAAACAGACCCGCTTTCATTGGTAATTTCAGAAAAGAGCATAGACAAAGACAATCCTGAAGATAAAATCTGCAAAACTTGGCATAGTTGTTGTGACCAGATGCTGCAAACATGGGCAACATGCTTTCAGTTGCCTTCAGATGTAACTGCCAGTTACCTGTACGCTCTGCCCTAACAAACATCCTTACAATGGAAAGAAAGTCCATGAACATCAGCCACTGCTTACTTGTCCTTGATAGTGATCGTTTCTGTTCTTTCAGTTCAACCAGTTGCACATGAAGCTGATTCATTGTTTCATCTGTGTCAATGGTGTCAGGATCTCCCTTTAACATTTCTTGCTGAAGCCTTTTCAGTTGATCTGCTGTGTCCTTGGAAATGATAGACTCTTCTTCAGGCACGGACACTTCATCATCGTCATCCAACTCATTAGC